GGTCGTCCTTGGGGGTGGGTAAGTGAAGATGGGTGACTGTGTTTCGGTTTATTTATTGATTGGTACATGTGCCGTGGTAAGTGTAAACAAGGTTGGCACTATTTTAGGAAACTAGCGTCCCCCAAACTACTACTGTCAGCTGTAACACTGGGCGAGGTGGCGGTGTGTACCCTTCCCAAATGTGATGTGGCTTCTGGGTACGAAAATTAAAGCTGGCCGGTCGAACGCCCTTGGGGTGTGAGAGGACGTGTAGCCCGCGTGTATGTGTAGCCATAGTAGGGAGGTGAGGCACACACGGCTAGTGACTCGCCCGCCGCCATCACTGGTCTCCGACGTCCACTTGGTAACAGGCTGTTTACCCTGCATGCTGGCAGCTACCTTGTTGCTCCGCCCCTGGTTCACCACGGCCTCCTGCTGCCCCCACCCCCACCGCCGCCCTCTGTATCCCGTCGGCTGATTTTCTTACTGATTGACAGATCTTTTAGGGACGTCATTTATGGACCGTTTTGATCAACAGGATAGGCAGACTGATAGGTTGCTGGAGACTTCTAGCGATAAACTGGAGAGTCGTGTTTGATGCTCTAGACGGGAGGGCGAAGGGGGGGTTGGGGAAGGACGGCGCGTTATGCAAGCTCCATCTCTCCATTACCGAAGTGCAATGCAGGCGAACCTCTGGAGGTTAGAGGCTGAACCGTAGCCACTGCAGGAGAGTAAAGGATTTTATGCGCAAGTCAGTAGCATCAGCTTATCAGTTCAGTACGAAAAACACTTACGATTGCATGAATGACTAAGGGGGAGTTATGAAACGAGTGGTTACTGGGGGCAGAGAGCAGCCCAGCTCAGGCGCGGTCGTGGAGGGACGCCCCAATATGACGTACTCCATCTTGGGCGTGCCCGTGGCGTCGGGATGTAATACATTTGGGGACGTGGACTCTCTGACCCACTCACACGGGTACACATTTTGCCATTGAAACGGAGCCTGTGATGTTTGTTAAGTATCCCTAGAGGCCAGTTCAGGGGTTCAAAGTTGGCACTATGCTGAATTTGGTGGCTGTGAGAGTACTGGCGGTAACAGAGTGTCTCCGGCTGAAGATATCATTGTCTGGCTGGTTTGAATATCTTAATTACCAAACAGTGCTTATGGATCACACATTCAGAGTTGGTATGAATGATTTTTGGCCCCAGAGACAGCTATGAACCCCTGAACTGGCACCTTGAGATATATAGTGGACGGCTCTTGTACCAGCGATACTCTTCTCTTGAAAGATTTATCACGTCGTGTTCATTCAGTGAGGATGACCGGGCATAGTTCCCTCCCTTACATTTAGCTGATGGCCTCCATGTTATGAAGTAGAGACCAGCGACAAAAAGAAAAAGTTTATCTCTAATGTAGGGTCACATTGTTTTAGGATATAAAGTGGACCGGTTAATTATATTTTTACATCATTCTCTTGGGGACAATTTTCAGCTACTATATAATTTTACATTTTAGACAAGATCTCATAATAAACTGTTGATGTTGCACTTGTTTCCAGTATGGTTCCCAACACTGACCAACTTATAGCCTGGAGAACTGACGGAGAGTCTTGCCAAATGTTACAAGATTATGAGTGACTGGGTGTAGCCAGGTGTTACCAAAGAGTACGTAGTGACAGCAAGTGTTATTAAGATTTCCCTGATACTAAGAGTGTTATCCAGACAGGCTATTTTGACGTTACAAACTGTTACGATCTTTTGCTAAGACTGTCACGAGTCAAAGAACCGTTACCAAAATGTACTGGGACTGTTACCAAGATGTACCGGGACTGTTACCAAAAGTGATAACAGCGTTGTAATCTTTTTAACGCACTTAGTGACATTTTCGTTAAGGTGGTTTTGATTACACTTGTATTCATGGTAACGGTGTTGATAATGTCCTCAGTAACACGCAGTAACACATTCGATAATGGGGACAGTCTTTGTAACGATTAGTGTAACATTTAATAACTCTCCTGATCCTAGACCTTGCTGTAACCGTTGTCTTTACTGTAACACCTGTAACACTATCATGATCTTGTTCACCAACACCTGATACACTGTCACACACTATGGGGGGCCTCTGGCTCTTCAAAAACACAATCTCTGGTTACTGCACAAAAGAGAGTTGTACGGACAATGACCTACTTGAAAAAACAGATCACACAAACGAGAAAATTTCTAAATTGAAAATGTTGAAATTCGAAGATATTAACACCTACTGCTGTGCCCTCTTTGTTTTAAATATATCAATCACTTGCTTGACAATAATTATTTTCAGTTCCGGAATACTCAGAGATACAGTTTAATGCACCCAGAGCTACTAAGACCACCCCCCATGCACTCCTCTCAGTCCCAGACCTCCATAAAATATCACAGTGTGAAGGTGTGGAACAACTTACCCCCACCCATCCAGCAAAGACTACGCTCCCTTCCTTTAAATCATCTCTTAAAAAATATCACTTGTCTAAGTATTAATATTTCTTGTAACACCTACTATATTTACAGAACCTTCTTTCATTGTACAATCAAAACCGTTTTATCGGAAATTATCATATAAATAGATAAAAATTACCATTGCAATAAACATAATTGCCAACTAGACATAATCCTGACAGCTCTGTCCTCTTGTTCAACCTTATTACTGTACACCCCAGGTTGTACTGCTCCCCCATTTTATTTATGTTTTTCAATTCCACTGTAATTTATGTATATACTTATAATATAAATAAAAAATAATAATAAATAAAATAAATAAATATTGAAGTGATAACCGAGGTAACATGTTCTTATTACCACCATGTTATTGTACTATTCCAGATGATACTAAATGTTACATAATACTTCCTTGAGATAAATGTATAGTATATATCAGGTGCCTACAAGAGAGCTCAGGTTCTCAACTGGCTCAGCCATGTTAATATTGTTATTATTATCCACTCCGTATCTATGTTTTTCTGGCTAAATAAACTGTGTCAATTCAATTCAACTATGGTACTATGGTTGTTACACTGTCATCAAAGTTGTTATGGGAAATGTTACCAAGAGTGACGCAACAAGATACCAAGAGAGTGTGTTACTATGAATGTCGTGACGAGCGTTGTCTCAACTTAAGGTGTTACAGCTTCTTGTTACCCATGCTGTATTGAGTGTCTACCGTAAACACAATAGTAGAAGTTAAACCGTTACCCAGTGTCACCAACAATCTATTACCAAAAACTTGTTACCACGGGCGCCATCAAAGTTACCACGAATATCACAGTGTTATCGGAATGTAATTTTAAGCGACCATTAGAACGAGTACAAAAATTTTACAAAAGCGTATTTCTAAGATTCTTGTGAAGTGATAACATAAATACACCAGTGTTACCAAGGCCTGTCACCAAATTCCACCATGGACGACCACAAAAAAAAAAGATGTTGGTAACAGTGGGGAGCCAAGTTTGTACGGGAGGATGACTGGTGTGTGTGTGTGTGTGTGTGTGTGTGTGTGTATGGTGGCTGAGGAGGGAGGCAGTGTGTGTGTTGGCAAGGTCGTTGACCGAACCTCCTGCCACTGGTAGGCTGAGAGTTCCACGAGGGGAGGCCGCCACTGCGCTCATCCTTTCAACCCGCCACCACCACCGCTCACGCCCTCTCACTCCCCCCCACCTTTACGAATGAAGGAAAAAATAATAAGCAAGTTCTATCTTTTTATTATTGGGTCAAATTACTAATATTGAAAAATTGATCCTCCATTTAAAAGTCAGACTGGGTTGATTACCTAATTAATTAACGGACTGTCTAATTAGTTAGGTAATATCCTTGACTCTATGATTACTTGCCACACTGAAGGGGTGATGTAGGCTGACTGGCTGGGTACCTATACAACTGGATGAACCGTCTCCGGGGTTGACTGGGTGAAGGTGATTTTTCTATACTAAGGTGTAACAGTAGATGGTGAGGCGGAAACTAATGCACTTCCTCACACTCTTAAAAGCTACAGGTAACACCATGTTTACCTGGAGGCCATTGACTTGGGTAGGATCCTCCATTGTTACTGTTAGTCGTATGTATGTATGTATGTATATGAAAAAACAAGTGAACCGTGAACATGAGAGAGAGAGAGCTGGGTCGGGTCATCCATCGTTGGTGCATATACAGTAGATCTAAACTGTGTGGTTGCTAGAGTTAAAGACACACACACACACACACACACACACACACACACACACACACACACACACACACACAGAAAGATAGGATCAATATTGAGAAATAAAAGAAAAATATAAATAAATATTAGTATTTTTTATTTTTTTTTTGAGTCAAGAGATCTATAGTGACCTCAGGAAGAATTGTGAGAAAATTAATATAAGAAAATATAGTAGAGGTGTGAGAGTCGTACCTGTAGACGTGATTGAACGTTTGTCTGGTTTTCGCGAAATTAATTTGAAAAGAAATAGTATTAATTTAATGGTTGACTGGTGTATGAATATGGTGTGAGCACATTTACTGGTTGGCTGAATAACTTATTAGCAGGTGGGTTGGTTGATAGACTCGTTGTGTATGTCAGTTGTTGATTGGCTAGTTTAATTTGCTTCGTGGTTAAGTATTTGATGGTTTGGATAGTGACAGTCAGTCATCTGGCAGGAAGGGGCGGTAAGTTGAGTGGTTGTGTAGTTAGTTATTACGATGGTGAGTGATTAAATGAATACTCAGTTTAATTCTGTCCCGCGTGTCTTGTTGAATGGCTGCCTTACGTAATTATTGATTGACTGATCGATTGCATTATGACTACTAGACCAAGATATTGTGTGTATACGGTTAGCTGCCAGACAGTAACTAAGAGTCAAATATAAGCGTGTGGTAAAGTGGAGACAGCTGGGTGAGAGACAGACATACTGGGGTGGGTGGATGGTTGAGTGGCTGGGGTGGTGGCGGCGGGTCTGGTCCTCCCCTCACGGCAGGTTGTGGCTCAGGCGGGGGGGACACCCGGTCGTTGCCCTCAGTAACTCAGTTTGTGTTTGGCTGGCGAGGGGTTTGGGCACGCTACTCGGCCCCCTGACCCGCTCCTCACTGGCATCGCAGCCACACTCGTCCAGTTGGAAGTACACAAGCACCCGTGGCCCTCACTGCTTCTTACACCTATCTTGGTGCTAAAGGGTATATCTTCCCTCTGCTTGTTACCACACACATCTTTTGACGCGCCACCCCACTTGTCACAGTCTCTGGCAATATTCATAATGCTGTTTCTGGTTCATCTCCAAACTTTACAAAGAAGTGTTTGACCTCTACCTCGCTGATGTTACTTGTTACACACCTCAGAAGATATGTGATGAATCTTTTTATAGTAATATGTTGGAAACAGTGATACATGACAAGAAAGTGGTGTCGAAGTACGTGGAATAATGTGTTTGTGATGTGAGTGGCGTGGCTGGTGTCCACTGCAGCAGCGTTGCGCCGTCACCACGGGATCATCGCCCTCCACACAAAACATAGTTTGCGCCCCACGTTGAGCCGCCCCAAAAAATAATGTCTGTGCTGACGAGGTGCCAAGCCTCAGGTTTCGTGTTTTAACGCACATCGTGAGTGTATTGATAGAAAGTGAATTTATCAGGTTGTAAACATATATATATTCGCCGGGGAGGGATATCATTATCCTTGTAGGCATATGAGTGCGTGTCATAGCCATGTCATGAACAGACGCTCCAAACTGGTTCCCTCTCACCCTTGCTTCCCCCTTCGATGGCTCCCCCGTGCTAACAAACCCTCCCTATCGCCCTGGCTTGTGTTCTACACTGGGTTTAATTCTTGCCAGGTTTATATAACACAATTGGCTCCTCCCTCCTGTGCACCCACACAAGGCAACGTCATTTGCTTTAGTGACGCATAAGATAACCAGCAGCGTTGTATAAGTGTTGTTATCATGTAGATATTTGTAGTGGAGAGCACATGGTAAGCACGGTTGGTTGTGGGAGGGGAGGTGGGGGAGGAAGCGGCGCCACACGTCTGGCCGCGCTGTTGGTCCCTCAGGCCTATGGCACTCACTGACTGGAGGCCAGACTGTTGCCTCCTGCTGTCTCGTCATAGTCACTGTGGTCCTTGAAAACTGTAAATACAACACTCCTGGCAGTGTCTGTATCTGTGTCTGTATCCCCTATCAGTACAGTATGCTAAATCGACCAAAATGGTATGCACTCCTGCCACGTAACCGTACATCGATCAGTTCAGAAGTTATTATTAATTCTGATTTCTCAAATGACGAGACATTTATGATAGTAATTATTGCAGATGTTTACGGAAGTAATTATAGATTAACCTTCAACCCATGCCCCCTCTCCTCCAATGTAAACACTGTCTTGTTAGGGGTCAACAGCCGTGCTGGGCTGTAGGCGGAAGCTGATCTGCGGTACGACACTTTGGCTGTTGAAGGGGGGTGGAAAGGGGAAAAATCCCGTGTGCTTCCCCTCTCTCAGTGGATTTTACATATATCCTGCAGGGTTACGCCAGTTTAGTCTTGATGGGTGTGGGTTGTGAGCACTGTATGAGCGGCTAGTAAGTGTGGGGGCGACGAGTGAGGAAAACAACAGCTTGTGTCCCCAAAGTGGAGGTCGCGTGCCTGGCAGCCAAGGTCGTTTGCCTGCACAGTGTTACGTCGCGTCCTGTCACACTACTGTTAGCTCTTCTTATAACGTTCCTCGACAGTAATATCCTTTTGTGTGTGCAGAAATCTACCAGAATTTAGTGTAATGAAAAGTACTAAAGAATAAGAAGTGTATATGAAAAAGTACAGTGTTTCATAAAAAGGTCATTGTCCCCGGTGCAGTGAGTGTTAACTTCGAGTGCAATGGAAAGGTGTTGATCCAGGGCTATATTTAACCAAGTCATCAATTAACCAGCTAGCCCACCACTGTTGGCGGAGGATCTGTTGTTTCCCGACCACAACTGGTGTCTCACAATGTAAGTGTTTACCTTTTAACATATTATGTAATGAATTATTGGGAGACAGATGTTGTTCTTGTGTGTGTGTGTGTGTTGTCTACGGTAGTGTGACCTACCCATCCAGTCGTTCGCTTACCCGTGTTTAGTGCCTTGAGGGGAATGCGAGAGAAATATTTATAAGGAAGATTTTTTTTTAGTTATCCTCGTCACAGTTGTTGATTTAATTCCATTGGTGTTTACTCCCCCAAAACAAGTTAATAAAACGTTATCGTCATTATGAATGACTAGATAGTTAGTGATGCTACCATAGAGAACAAGTGATAGTTAATTATGTACAAGGTAATTGGGTGGTTATAAGCTTGTGATAGTTAATTGCTTCTGTTTGTCAGTGATGGTTAGTCAGTTAGCTGGAGCTCACACCTCAAGTGGATAGTGATGCTTAGAGTTAGTTCAAGAAGGAGAGGGAAGTATATTGATTTATGTCAATTGATGTTGAAACAGTTTATTTAGCCAGAAAAGTACAGACTCTAAGTGGATAATAATAACAATATTAACATTACTGAGCCAATTGAGAGCCTGAGGTCTCTTTGAGGCACCTGATATATACTATACATTTATCTCAAGAAAGTATTATGTAACATTTAGTATCATCTGGAATAGTGCAATAGCATGGTGGTGATAAGAACATCGCATAATGTTCCCACGGTTATCACTTCAATATTATTTTTTTTCTTACAATTATATAATAGGTATATAGATATTTTACACTGGAGTTGAAATATATTAATCTGATAAGTGGGGGAAGCAGTAAAACATGGGTTGTATTAAGGTGGAACAAGAGGACAGAGCTGTCAGGATCACGTCTTGACGGCAAATATATAGTTGAGACTTAAAGTTTGGTCAGCTAGAACAATGATAACACAGGATATGGTCAAGATAGACTCTTATAATTATGACATTTAGGCCAAGTTGGACTCTATGATTGTGGAGTTTTGGCCAAGTTGGACTCTATGATTGTGCAGTTTTGGCCAAGTTGGACTCTATGATTGTGGAGTTTGGGGCAAGTGGACTATGCCATTGTATATTTTGTCCTCGGTGGATGACTCGTGTGACCCTGGGATGTAACGGCTAATTGTCCGGAAACAGCTGATTCGTGGAATATGTATGACTCATTGTGACACCACCAGGCCCAGGACCCACCTGCCTGACCCACCTGCCTGCTGCGTCACCCATCCACCTGTCACCCACCCGCCTCACCCTAGTCACCCACCTGCCTCACCCTAGTCACCCACCCACCACCCTAGTCACCCACCTCCACCCTCACCTAGTCACCCACCCGCCTCACCCTAGACACCCACCCGCCTCACCCTATCACCCACCTGCCCCACCCCCTCCACCCGCAGTCACCCACCTGCCTCACCCTAGTCACCCACCCGCCTCATCACCCACCTCACCTGGTCCACCCTAGTCACCACCTGCCTCACCCTAGTCACCCTGCCTCACCCGCCTTACCCTAGTCACCCACCTGCCTCACCCCTCACCCCCGCCTCACCCTAGTCACCCAATCTGCCTCACCCTAGTCACCCAGCCTTCCCACCCCCTACCCTCCACCTAGTCAATCACCTAGTCACCTAGTCCACCCGCCTCACCCTCACCCCTAGTCACCCCTGCCTCACCCTAGCCTGCCTCACCTAGTCACCCACCGCCTCACCCTAGTCACACCTCACCCTAGCGGCACCAAAGAGCCAGGGCGACGGCCTGTACGGCATGGAACTAAAATATTGATTATCTCAGATAATTGACCAAGTTAAGCTGGGACCCGTAAATGCAACAGCCCCCACTCCCTCACCCTTTCTCCTCCCCCTCACCTCTCCCCCCTCCCCTCACCTTCTCCCCCTCCCTCCCCTCACCCTCACCCTCCCTCTCCCAAACAACAGTGACTCACGGTGGAGAGCACGTAGAGCGATGATCCTGTCACGTGGTGCAGCGTCAACGACCTTCTCTCACTACTACACCAGCCAGCCCGTTAACCCCTCCCCTTCTTCTTCCCCCCCTTCCCCTTCCCTCCTCCTCCTCTCTCTCTCCACTCATAACCCTTCCCTTACTACTGAACTAGCCTGTTTACCCTCTCTCTCTCTCTCTCCATAAACTAGACTTCACTTGTTTGTTACTCATTCGCCATCACTCCTTACTACAACCTGTACCTCACCATTCAATATCACCCCTGTCCACCACCCCTCACCATTCACCGCCCCTTCCACTCACCCCTCACCGCCCCTCCACTCACCTCACCAATCACCACCCCTCACTCCACTCACCCACCCCTCACCATTCACCACCCCTTCACTCACCCCTCACCGTCCCTCCACTCACCCCTCACCATTCACCGCCCCTCCACCCACCCCTCATCATTCACCGCCCCTCCACCCACCCCTTATTATTCACCGCCCCTCCACCCACCCACCCTCACCATTCACCGTCCTCCACTCACCCCTCCTGCCCCTCCACCTACCCCTCACCATTCACTGCCCTCCACCCACCCCCACCTCACCGCCCCCCCACCACCTCACTGCCCCCCACCACCCCCCCTCACCGCCCCTCCACCACCCCTCATCATTCACCGCCCCTCCACCCACCCCTTATTATTCACCGCCCCTCCACCCACCCTCACCATTCACACTCACCCCTCACCACCCCTCCACCACCCTCACCACCCACCATTCACCGCCCCTTCACCATCCCTCACCGCCCCTCCACCCACCCCTCACCATCACCGTCCCTCCACTCACCCCCACTGCCCTCCACCCACCCACCCTCACCATTCACCGCCCCCTCCACTCCACCCCTCACCATTCACTGCCCCTCCACCCACCCCTCACCATTCACCGCCCTCCACTCACCTCCCCACCATTCCTGCCCCCTCCACCCCCCCCACCTCACCGACTCCACCACCCCTCACCGCTCCCTCACCCACTCACCGCCCCTCCACTCACCCCTCCACCGCCCCTCCCTCTCACTGCCCTCCACACCACCCTCACCGCCCCCTCTCACTCACCCCTCTCACCCTCTCCACTACCCCACTGCCCCTCCACACCTCACACGCCCCCTCCACCCCCCCCCCACCCCCCCCTCCACTCACCCTCACCATTCATCACTCATTCCACCCTCCGTTACTACTCTCACCTCCTTCACCCCTACCGCTTCTGCTCCCTACCCAGTCCTACCCTCACCATTCTCACCTCCACCCCCACTCGCTAACGGCCCTACTCCACCTTACAATAACCCTTATCCCCTTCCCATTCCCCATTTATTCCCCTTCCCTCTGCCCCCGACATCCCACCACCCCACCCTTTCCACACCATATTTTCCTCCTTTACTTCCCCTTACCCCCTTACCCTGTTCCCCCCCTACCCCTTCCCTTTCCCTCCCATTACAACTATTTTCTACGTAACCCCCCCACAATCCCCTACCTTTCGATAATACGGCCTTGGACTTACTGTAGGATCAATGAAATCTAGAGTAACCGGGAATCCACACTAGTTTTTGGAGCGTCAGTGAACTAGTGGGTGAGGTGAGGCGAGGGTGAGTGAGTCATGTGTTTACCAGGTGACGTCGAGCGGGTGTGGGTCGACGCCCCTTTGGACTGTCATCATTCCTCATCTTCCCAAGACTCTTTAGTATGGAGGACCCTGGATATGAGGTAATGAAACTCACCGACTGTGTAACATTGTGGAGATGTATACACCCCAGGATAAATGAAGGAGGAAAGAGCGGTGGATATTTTACGCTGAGAGAAAGAGAGAAGGGTCGACATTTACGCAAAGAGAAGAGTGTGATCGTCAGCTCCGCAGCCACGACCATATGATCTGATTTTCGAACAAGTAATCAGAGTATTATCTCTTCTCACTACCGACGAGAAAAGAAACCAGTTAATGAGTGAAACTTCCACCACTGGTTGGATCAACGATTTTATTTTTACACAATATCGGTGTTATTTATATTCTGTGAAACACATTATTAGGCGATACTTGAACTCTGAAGGCATTATGTAAAAGCTTATATTTTCAATTGTAATTAAATGTAGCGGTTTGTTTACGATCATGATTCTTGTGGAGTCTAGACAAGCTTAGCAGACGACACTCTAGTCTAGACTCTTACCCCAACGAACACAAGTTATGGTCTGTATAATCTAACCTAGTGTATCCTGTGTTTATTTTTTTTAGAGTTATCTTTGCCAAGGTTTTACTCAATGTAAAATTAGTTTGATTAGCCTGCGCTACTGTCCGTGTAATATTTGGTTGGTCTACTTATAATACAAGAGCTTTACCATACTCTCAAGATGGCTCCCCGGGTTCATATCATCATCATTTTTATGCTTTATAATATACCACTGCCTTAATTTGTAAGATCAAAAAGCAGAATCCTTGATTTTGTAATGACAAGTTAATATTTATATTGTAATCCCGAAGATTAGGTGGAGGAAAACACTGTCCCTCGAGGCAGATGGCTTTATTAAGGGAAGGTGTAGAACCAGAAGTACAATTAAAAGTTTAACTATGAAGTCAACTTAGTGTGACAGACTGTACAAACTTGTGTATAATGAATGATAGCGGAAGGGAAGAAATAGACCAAAACCTCTTAAGTTATTACACAGAGAACATAACATACATCGTTACTGACTCACTGTATACAAGTTATTGTTTTCTTGTGTGTGTTGTAGTGAGCTGCATGAACGTATACACCTTCTGCATTATAACATTAACATATACATTAACTGATCCTTATCGTTGCACATCATCTTCATAATTCCTTAATATTTTTCTTTATATATTATATGCATATTATTTTAAAACTTCTTAGTATCTTGTACAATAATTACATCAATAAAATATAGTTTAAGCTGATAAATTACCTTTTTTATATAACTCAGAATATAACTTATCTTAACTCTTCATAAATAATAACAATATAACTCTACAACCAGGTTTCTACGTCGACTGATTTATATAACCTGGAAATAATTATTGTAATTTGTGTCTTTGTGTGTCAAGTTTCCCTGGTATGCTTCAAGACGCGACTAAAGTGAGATTCAGGCAACTATTTCTGACCAAGTGATATCATTTCTGAGGATCTCTACCATTACTACGCTTTAACCTTGTGTACGATGTCGCCTCCGAGCTGAGTAAAATCTTCAACTTTAGCCTAAGTAAAAATATTAAAAGTGGCATGAATATTAGATTAGTATTTACACTCATCTTCAATAGTTAAAGATTCGTGAGATGTTAGTGGCAAATAATTATATACACGAATAATATTGAACGAAAATATATAGACCAGCAGTAATATAGCATAATTATAAGATATATATTCTCTACCAGATGCTCATTATATTACCTGTATATATTTTTTGTGATAATTTATTTATTTTTTGCTTCGCTGTGTTCCGTGTGATAGTATTGTGATGTGTTTATTATTAAATGAGTAACTTGAATATGTCTTCACGAAAATAGATGTTTCATGTTGATATTTCTGGGGCAAGTGTGAGAGAGAGAGAGAGAGAGAGAGAGAGAGAGAGAGGTTTTAGCCTAGTTGTATATGAAATAGAAACAAACGTAAATTCTATTCATCTCATTATTACACAAAATGAAGGTTAATGTATGAGTGTGTGTATGATACAGTATTTACCAGGATATGTTAAGAGGTACAATTAGTAGAGGACTGTTAAAAGTTGAGTCTAGTTAAGGGCAGCATATACGATCCTCCGGCCTCAGGGCAAGAAAAATTATTTTATTTATTTATTTATTTATTTATTTATTTATTTATTTATTTATTTATTTATTATTTATTATTTATATATTTATTTATTTATTTATTATTTTTATTTGTTTTCTTATTTTTATTTTTATTTATTTACATATATATTTGTATGAAGAAACTTAACCCGGAAATAGTAAAAGATATGAACTTGGTCTATGAGTGAAATGTATAAATTTATTTGAAGACAAAATTTCATCAGTCCATCGTCAAGTCAACACTAAGTCATCACAACTGAGAGGACAATGTTGTATACGACCACCTGGTGAGTATGATGGTAAACTGACACTTAAGTTAGTGGATAGTAAGGGTGTGGTTTATATAAGGAAATGGTGGTGGTGGTGGCGACGGTGGTGGTGGTGACGGTGGTGGTGGTGACGGTGGTGGTGGTGTGGTGGTGACGGTGGTGGTGACGGTGGTGGTGGTAGAAAATATCCTTTATGTCACACGTAGAGGCACAGTAGACAGTGGAGGGCTTACAACAGTGTTCACTCCCCCGAGGCCCCGTCCAGCTAACAGTCGTGACCTTCACCTCTGACCTGCAGCGTTAACCTACATTCTCCAAAATTAGATATTTTTTTTGAGGGGCACACGAACCTGTACTATCAGCAAATATATTTTCTTCTGATATTTGTTTTTAAAAGATACATATATAAGTGTGTGATGTCTGTCTTTTAAACCGGTCAACAGACTTACGAGGGCTAACATTTTGGTACCTTTACAAGTTTATGGACACTAGAACAAATGGTAAAGCTGAGTCGACTTAACAAACAGTGTATATCTGTGCCCGAGATAAAAGATATAGCCGTTATTATGCCAGTCCTCCTAATTCATTGTGTTTCAGAATCTTGGTTGGCAGTGATTTGTGTATGAGTTTATACCACATTAAATGAAGCAGTACATTCCTTCAGCACAGCAGATTACGACAATGTGTTTGTATCATAAAATAGCCATAATCTTCCCAGTTCATTAGGCTGTACCGTAGTGCATAATTTTCCTTTATAAACTCATAGTATTGTACTATTAAGTATATTACACTTGATATTTGTTTGTTACAGGTGAGTGAGATGGTGATGCAGACGGTCTCAAGTTCAGGTAAGTTGATCCCTTTACCTGGTTGAGGTGACCATGTTCAAACGAGCACTTCCCTCTCCCCAGTACTGTTGAATCTCCGCCCGATAGGTTGGGACATGTTGACACCCTTGATGCTCCCCCGTCCACCACATAGTGAGGCTGCCCTCGGCTTCAACATTCTCGTATTAGTGAACACAACTCCGTACCTTGACCAATGTACCTCATAGGACGCCACATAACCTAGACCCGGAACCGGACAGGAGTTAAGTTTGTTTATATAAGGGTTGGTTAGTTTGGCTAGGATTCGGGATGAGCGGTTTCCTCCATCTCTTCTGCGCTTGAAACGTTTGCTTATGCTGTCTCGTTCACTTGGTTTTCTCGAGAGAGTCAAGGGTGAGGCTTGGCGTGTACTTCCCCGTAACGTTAACCAGTTGTATGTAACGTAGCACGCCACCTCAAGGTACAGCAGCAGGTGAAACTAATGAAATGTTATATGACTTCACCTTAGACTTCTCCCACCAGGTGTCTCGAGCGAAGCGGAGGGACGGGGTGGAGGGATGTCAGGTGGGGAGGGGGCTACTGGCGAGGCACACAACAATACTCGGCTCCTGATGATAAAGACTTACTTTTTATGCTGATCTCCTGGGGTGTTCATTAGCGCAGTGTTGTGTGGGTTTAACGTGTAATTATGGTTAAGCTTTCAGATTTCCTTTTCGTTGCCAGAGAATAAATGTAGAGTTGTGTTGTATTTTTACCTGGCTAGTGGGGTCAGTATCCAGGAAGGAATTAGGGAACTCCCCACGCGGGAAAAAATTCGCACCTGGCTGTGACAGGCATAGTTCTGCCCCGGGGCGATATAAATAGAAACAAGAGCAGCCAGGTAGGGTGGGTGGCGTGTGGGGCTGGGGCCGAGGATCACCATTGCTAAGGCAGCTACACTTGACGACTCGGTGTGCCGTCAGAATTTCCCCGTTTTCTATGTACAGTATTGTCTTTGCATGTAATCCTCCTCCGTGTTTGTAAACAATACACTCATGAAAGGTGAGTTGGCGGCGTATCCAGTAAACTAAATGTGTAGTTGATTTAATATATAAATAACACACGAATAATTGAGAGTGATGCAGGATGTGAATAAAGTGAGATGGTGTACAGTAGGTTGGTAGCATGATGCTGTGTGGCAACGAGAGCTACGCGTGTACCATCATTTCCAGCAGCGGTATTTCCGCATTTTAACCTCGCCACAATTTCCGTGACGCCCAGATTTAGGCATTGATCAGTAGTTGGATGGTTTTAGAAAGTGCGTGATTTTTCGTAGAGGGACAGCCGTTGTCAGTCTACTCCATCCAGTAAACAGACTCAGCGTGGAGGCAGTAGAGGAGAAAGTTGGACAATGGTAAAAAATGCGTAAGTGTCACGTGCTCAACTAATGGGAGCTCCAGGAGGCCCCCACAGGAGAAATTCCTTGTATCAGCGCAAAAAGTGAGGGAGAATTAATTGCACGTATGGCCAACTATCACTTTCTGTGCACCGCTATTCTAGGTGGTTATTTATGGATTGACTTTCCCTTTCCCCAGTGACTTGTGTTTTTTGGTGTTATATTTGTGTCGGACGTTTTTCCCTCTCTGTAATTGTCGGTCTCGGCACCAGGCGGTTTGTTGTGATGACAGCCGCCTTCTGTACTCTTACTTGTTGTGATTGTTGACATGTTCTCTGCATTATTATTAGTAGTAGTGTTGTTGTTGTTGTTGATGTTGTTGTTGTTGTTGTTGTTGTTGTTGTTGTTGTTGTTGTTGTTGTACATATGCGTTCTTATCTCACTAACTACTCATCATTATCTACACTTACCATAAACGCAGCGTAGATAATGATGTATTTCCTGCTGCGTACCGCAACCTTAACTTGTCCTGCGTAGCTGACCTATTCACCATGAACCTAGCGGTACTTTGCTCAGTCCACAGCCCAACTCCTACGATACCACCAACTTACTTCACAGTCTACCCTACCAACACCTTTGTTCCTCAGCCAACGGCAAGAGTCTCGTGCTTCTTGGCCGAGCGATGTAATCATTTATCGTGTGTCGTGGTCCAGTATAAGAACCTCTTGTGTCGCTCTTGTGTCGTGGTCCGGTACATGAACCATTTATGTCTTGGTTCGTTCAGTAAATATTCGTAATCTAAGTCGTTTTCTCTCACAATCATAAGGAATTTAACTACTGTATATCTGTTATTTACTCCATCGTATTTTGACCTGAACTTGGTACTGCGGAGCCTAGCCCGTGAACTTCGATAGTGTCGGGGAAGGCGTAAATAACACGGTGGGTGACCACAGCGATCTTAAGAACTTTCCCCCGCGATGTAGATAAATTACTCTAAATTGCAGGAGAAAGTCGTACATGTTCATCGGTGAGGTGAAAACGTGAAATGATTGAGGAAGTTGAGTCGGGGGGAGGAGGAGGAGGAAGGGGTTATTAACACACTGTAATGCCACGAGCGGTTGTGACAGCACTTAGAGGTGGGTTGCAGTTTGTCTTGCCCTCTGATTAGTAAACGTTTTTCTCATTGAATTGAACTGAACATGATAAGTATGTTGCAGTTTATACAACGACGATTCACAGTGTAAACTTAAAGAGATGACACACTTCTGTTAATGTTTGGTCAGGTTAACTTGGATAGGTATTAATTAGGCTCAGTACAGTTACTTCAGAATTATACCAGGTTTACTGAGCAACTCGAACACTGTACACTTCAGAACTTATTACAAGTTTTGTAATACAGTACATATCGTTTGGAATCTACAGTCCAAAAGTTCGGTGTTGTACTTGTTTGAATATAAGTTTTCTGCTTGTTCAGGTATGTTGACAGTTAGGATAGTCTTACAGGCTTAAGGAGAGCAATTACTGTACACTAAGTTGTTATGCGTCACTTGGTCAGTGTTAACCTTAGGAGCTTCCCACTTGTTTACTAATGGTGTCTGATTAGAGGCTGAGATCCCAGAAACTTGGTGAATATTAAGTTCTGTAGAGAAATAGTTTGGACACACACACACACACACAAACTAGAAGGAAAAATTGCCAATTATTTTGCAATCATTGTGTCCACATTTCAGCGACCTGGCTCAAAAATGCCTGAGATATCCTGACAAGCACCTTGTACCCCTCTGAGACGCGCTTCGTGCGTTACCTTATGGAGTACACATTAATGGAATACATAATCAAGTGTTGCAGATTATATTGTATTGTTAGGAAGAACTACAAGAACAAAGCAACATGTCAGGAAACAGATCGAGAGCGAGACGCAAGGCCGCGGGAAGGATAAAGAGACAAAGGCGACACTTGTGGTTAATGAGTAAAAACAAAAGATGAAAAGAATGCTGACGAAGCGCATGTGTTGAGGGGTGAGGAGGGGAGGTGAGACATAACTGCAGTGTGTGAGGGGTGAGGAGGGGGTGAGCAGGGAAAGTGTGTGAGGGGTGAGGAGGGGAGGTGAGACATAACTGCAGTGGTGGGGTGAGGAGGAAAGGTGTGCAACTTAGGAGTGGTGGGTTGTGGCAGAATTATGAGGAGCTAGGCTGAACTGAATTGGGTGAGTTATGTGGCGGGTCAGCTGTGAGGTTCAGTTATGCTGGGAGTGCAACCTTTACGAGTGTAACTGGAGACAACTACATGAGCTGCAGGAATGAAAATGTGTCCTGGAAATGGAGAAGGGACGTGGGTGGGGGGTGGGGGTGGAGGTGTGGGTGACCGAAAATTAGCGTGGGTGATCTAGGAAGGGCGTGGTTAGTGGTAATGGTGGTGATGGAGACGTGGTTGTTAGTGGTGGTAGTGGTGGAGGATTGGGACTCTCATGAGGTATCAGAGAGAGGAAGAGACCTGTATAAAAAGAGAGAAAGAGGAGGAGAGTACCTGTAGGATATTATAAATTATTTGATATTCCGAGAAGTTCAACACTCATGAAAAATAATTGGGTTGTGGCGAGGTACCTGAAGAGACACTAATTAAATGCAACATCTCCTCTCTCTCTCTCTCTCTCTCTCACGGTATCATCATTATATGACGACAAAGGAACAGGATGTACACACGCCTCAGGTGCATCTCTCCTCCTCACCCTACATAGCCCCCCCTCTCTTTTCTCCCTCCCATCGTCCCCAACCCTTTTCACCTGTTCCTCCTTTATATCATCTCCCTTCTCCTCCCATCCTTTGCCTCCCCCTTCCATCCCTCCCCATTATCCCATCCTCGGTCCTTCCTCTCTTTGTTTCCTGCCTGCCTCTATCCTCCCATTCTCTTACATTTCTCCTTATCTCTCTCCTCCTTCCTCACCCTGCTTCTCCTCCCCCCACCTCTGTTTTACCGTAGGGAGGCAGAACACCTATCCTGTCCCCACACACACCCACCACACACACACACACACACACCAACACTTTCTCCTCACATTGAAAGTTGTGTGTGTGTGTGTGTGTGTGTGTGTGTGTGTGTGTGTGTGTTTGTTTGTCATAGTGGGTGTTTTATTGTTGTTGAGAGGAGGGTGTGTTTGGACTGTGGTGAAGTGGGTCTGTTTTTTACACACTCGACAATTTCCTGTTGTGACACCCGAAGACTCATGTTAATTTTTAGTTTAAGAAAACATTATTAGAAATACTATTAAGAGTAATTAATTCTCTTGTTTATATAGGAAGATATTACACACACTCACTCACACACACACACACACACACACACACACACACACACACACACCGATCACTGGGTAAATTAGACTATGAGTGTTATTCAATATTTCTCTGTATTTAGAAAGAAAGTTGTTTTGAATTTTTGTTTTCATATTATTTAAAAGACGTTAGATACTTTTTTTGTTTTTGTTGTGACTCGAGGATTTTGTTTGATGACGTATTGGATTCTTGATTTTTTTTTTAAGTACATAATATCTTGTTGAGTTTAAAGGTGTAGTTGTTTGTTGGTTTGGTTAGGTTAGGATGTCTAGTGTTTTATGATTTTCTTATTTTTAATCTGGTTTGGTTGAGTAGGATTTTA